TTTTGGTCCGGTCTGTTCTCTACTCTGTTGGCCATTTTAGTTAGCTTCTGCTGCTATTTGTATTTGTATTTCTATTTTATGTTTTCCTGTCTGCTGTGCATGTTTGGTTCTTTTGTACAGCACTTTGGTTGGCCTTGTTGCTGTTTTAAGTGCTATATAAATAAATTGGTATGGTATGGTATGGTATTATTTTACATTATCATCCACATGACTGGTTGTATTGGGATTTATTTAATCACTTATTGCTTGAACATATGTTCAGTCAATTATTAACATGCACTTCTCTTTGCTGTTTATTATTTCTGTTTGTGTTTTAATTTTAATAAATTTGCATTTGTTAAACTGTTCTTGTACTTGCCTGTTTTCTTTTTTCATTTTGTTTTATTCCTTCTAGCCTGTGTAACTACTTTACTTTTTGGCTCTAACCTGCCATTTATTGAACTTGCTTACAGGTGCATCTCAAAAAATATAATATCGTGAAAATGTTCCGTTTCTTTTGTCATTCAGTTCAGAAAGTGAAACTCTTATATTACATACATTCATTACACACAGAGTGAAACATTTCAAGGCTTTATTTCTTATACTTTTGATGATTATGATTTGCAGATAATGACAAAACAGAACATGAGAATATTCCACAGCGAGCTTTTGGTACCTTGTCAGTGTGGGGCAGGAGCTGAGTCCTGCTGGAAAATGAAATCAGCATCTCCATAAAGCTCACCAGCAGAAAGAAGCATGACGTCTCTAAAATGTTCTGGTAGATGCTGCGTTAACTGTGGACTTCAGGAAACACAGTGGACCAGAACCAGCAGAGGACATGGACCCAAACCATCACTGATGGTGGAAACGTCGCTCTGGGTGTCTCCACTCTTCCTCCAGACTCCGAGACCTTGATTTACAAACAACATGAACATTTACTTTCATCTGAAACGAGGACATTGGACCTCTGAGAGACATTCCAGTTCTTCTTCTCCTCAGCAGGTAGATGCTTCAGACGTTGTCTCTTCAGGAGTGACTGGACTTGAGGAATGAGACATTTGTAGCTCATGTCCAGCAGTTAATCAGGTGATTAGGGTGTGACACCAGGAGTTTACACTATTAAACTTCTTCACGATATACTCATTCTCTGAGACACTTGAGTTTTTTGTTTATTCATTAAGCCATAATTATCAAAATTACAAGAAATAAAGGCTTTAATATTTCACTTTATGTAATGAATCTACCGTACTTTTCGCAGTATAAGTCACAGTTTTTTTTGCATAAATTAACATGCCCTGCGACTTATACAGCGAAGCGACTTATTTATGTTTTTCTTCCAATATTTATAACCCAATTTTTGGCTGATATCTGACGATCTAATTCATTCTGACAAATATTGAACACTACCGTTTTCAGCCACTAGAGGGCCCTCGAGGTATATGTCAAGCCAAGTGTCTCATTAATAGGTGAAAGTGGTTATTAATGAGACACTTGGCTTGCCATACAAAGCCACCTTTGTCTCGCTCCGGAACTTGTGGATCATTTTGCTGCACCGCCCAGGCAAAATGCAGCTGATTTGACCATTAAAGTGCATTTATTAAGGAAAAGTTCAACTGAGGCTCACCTTTACTATAAAGCAAGTCAAGTCAATTAAACAAATAATTGTTTTTAGGTGGTTATCTTGCTAAAGTTCGAAGAAATGCACAACGAGTCATTCCTCTGCGCGCTCCCGCAGCTGTGAATCTGCTTTTGAAATGCAACTGATTTGACAGTCAGCCAATCGATTTTTGACACATTGGCCCACGTTTCCGGGTTGTTAGCAGTGACGCATAATAGATGCGACTTATACGGCGAAGTGACGTATTTATGTGTTCCCCACTTCATTAGACATATTTGTACTGATGTGACTTATAAGGCAGTGCAACGTGTACGACGTGACGGTATGTAATATGTGTTTCACTTTCTGAAGTGACTGACAAAAAATATTGAACGTTTTCTTGATATTATTTTTTTAGATGCACTTAAATGACTTAAATTATACTCTGTCAGATTTGTTCACCTGGTCTCCAATTTGCAAGAATTCGGCAGGTAAACTTGAGCCACTGAGCTCCGTTCATAAAACCAGCATCTTTTCTCATCTATATTTTATATGCAACAATGGAAGCGGACTATTCTTAGATTTAAATGTATCCGCTAATGGGCTTGATGCAGCTTTGAATAAAAGGAGGCTTGTTCTTGATGAATGAGAGGTTTCGACACAGTGGGTGGTTTAATGACCACAAAGTTAATGTGATTCATTTTAAGTCATAATCAAGATTAGTAGTTTTGAGGGGAATTGTTTTTATTTTTTTGAGGAATTAAGACAGTTTTGGAGTTAAGTCAATTTACCTTCTGAAACTCATCTAATGCATCATTCATGCTGCGCTAAAAGTAACATTTTATTGTAATCTTTCAGCCTAAATATGGTCAGCAGAGTATATCTAACACATAACATGTATGTTTGTCTAAAATCCCTTTATGACACCGAACTGATCTTGTTTGGAAATATTTTTTCTGAAGCAACATACTGATTCATCTTCAACACTAATGATGTGTTGTTTCACCTAAGCCTTTGTAATGGATCTGGAGGAGGAGCCTTCATTAGACTGACTAATGCAGGCAGCAGAAAAGTAATGTGCATACTAATGGCAGAGAAACACTCACCAACGAGCCTTTAATGATCATATATGGGGTTAATGAGGTTTAACACTCTTCAGTAAGAAAAATAGAGTCTGCCACACCCGAGGGAGGTGGCGATTATATTTAATTTGTCTTGTAACGCCTATATTTGGCCACATGGGGGCAGTGTTGGTTAGAACAGTGTCAAATAAAACTTCTGGAGCTGTTATTAAGTTTATCCAGCAGGTGGCAGTCTTCTACAGGACATACAAAGGCAAATAGTTATTTGGAGTTATTAACCACAACTACCTTATAAAAGGCTGATCTAAAATACAGATTACTCTTGATAAAGACTGAATGCAACAACACACACAGATCAGAACACTGCGTCCTTGTTTCCCACCGGCCTGGTATGTCAAAAGGGGGAGGCAGTGGGAGGTGACCTCTTGGACCTGCAACAAGAATCCTCGTTCTGAGAGTTTTCTTTCATCAGCTGAAGATTTGAACTCGCCTCATGTGCTCTGAACAAGGTTGCTCCATAAACTCTTATTTTATTTGCCTGAATAGATTCACTATAAACAATTGGCATTAATCTATTGTTTTTGCCAGTTTATATTGCTTTAGCAAAATATCTCATTAACCAGGAGGGATTTTAGTGAAACTCCCAAAGTAATCACCAGATGTACATCTACAACTGACTAATAACTTTTGGAGTCCGTAAAGTTTAAGATGAGCATCGCAGCCACCAAAATGATTATAATTCAGATAATTTTACAGATATTCTGCTAGAGCTTGGTGTGCTACTAGCTGAACATCATCCCCAACACATTCTGAGCTGTAAACATCAGATCTCTGGTATAAAAAAAGTGTAATCAGTACAAACTCAACTATGCAAGTGATGAGCTCATACAAATTAGTTTAATGTATGAGTGCTACAAGTGAAGGACACAAGAAGGCTCGTTTGGTGGTAACAAACATCTTTTAATGAGTTAATTTGAACAAGAATTTTTAAAAAGTTTAAAATAAACATTGAAAACCGAAGGCTTTAGCTTTACAGCGAGTTGTCATAAGGGCAGTTGTCATTAGAGGGATTCTCTTCTAACCGAACCCAAAAGCTAAAACTCACAGTTAACGCTTTAACCCACAACACCGCTCCGTTCTGGAGATGTCAAGCGAAGGTCAGATGCTGTCTTTTGGCGTCGAAACAAGTTCACTTAATATCTGATGTCAGGAGAGCCGCCGACACTGAAACACAAGCTGCATGTTTGTAATAACTGGCGTTTGCGTGCCGTGCCTTTGCCCCAGTGTGGCTGACATAAGTCACAGTATTTGCAACCACATGCACATGGACGCTCATCTGATCCATCAAGACATACAGTAAGGTTGAGTTAACTAGCTCCACTTTACAGGGATATGTGAACAAGTGACTTCTGTCAGTTAAAGATTTCTGCACCACAAACTGTTAGGATGTCGGTCTAGTCCCAAAGAGTTTCCACGATAGCTCAGACCAGTGGTTCCCAACCCTGGTCCCTGAGGAACACCATCCTGCATGTTTTAGCTGTTCCTCTGCTCACACCTGATCTGAATGAAAGGGTGATTAACAGGCTTCTGCCGAACTTAAGGAAGTAACAAACCACTGAATCAGGTGTATTGGAGCAGAGAAACAACTAAAACATGTAGGATGGTGTTCCTCAAGGACCAGTATTGGGAACCATTTGATTCAGAGTTCATGCGTAGTGAACCTTAATATCCTTCATTGGATAGTTTGTTTTTGAGGCGATGTTTTGTTCAGTAGTACTGAATAAGCCATGACATCAGCCACAGACTACAAAATGTGGGGGAAATGCCTTCTTTCCTGGCTAGGCTAATGGCTAGCCAATGGAGAAACTGTTTTCCATACTGATGGAAACGAATGCTACGCTAGCTAATATTAAATCTCCACAATTTTGCCTGACACTGTTGCAGTTGTCAGTATTTTCTCAACCGAACAATGTTGGTGTTTAGGACATGGGCATTTTCTCGGTCTGTGCTGAGCACACGTACAGTCACGTAACAGATGTTTAGCTGAGAAAACGGCAACACACTAAACATGCAGAGGTTTACGTACTACTTTATTTTACACCAATAAATCTTTGAGAAGTTGCTTTTATATGCTTCATCGGTAAGCACTCATTTGGCTAGCCTTCACCCTAGACAAAGATGTCTGCTGTGGTACTAATTACTGATAACTATTTGACAGAAGATCACTTTTAAAATCACCATATTATTCAATAAGTCATTCTGTGTTGTGTAACCTTTAGCTTCCTTTGAGCCTTCAGCTCGTACATCAGTCCCTTGTAACTTTAGAACACAACAGTACTGGATAATGTGAGAGTAGATTTATTTAGTGAGATTTAGTTGGCTACATTTTCATAAATGGCTGTTATGCACAACATATAAACAGTGTTTTATACAGTCGAGGAGAAACAAAACAACACGTAGACATCAGAAGGCAGAGACCGCGGCACGTCAGTCTTCAAGTACGTCAAACAAATAGTTGCGTCTCTGCCTTTCCTTCACTTATGGAGCTAACATTTTCTTCCTGTAGTTTCTTATATGGCTTCACCTTGGTAGTCATAGCATGGCTAGATATTGTTTCTCGTTTGCTACAATGCCCAACAGTATTATTTCCTGTAGGAGGTTTAATTAAAAAGGCAATTTGGCTTTGCTAACAGAGGCAAACAAAGATGAAATTAAAGTCCATTTATGCAATCCAACTCTGCAAGCTTGCCAAATACTGTAATACTGAAATTTCACGTGACATTCAGTACATCAGTGCATAACCTAAAACTTATTTCATTAACGACGTAGAAGCTGATGAACCGAAACCGACTCTGCAAAGTATTACAAGTTGTGTTCCCTAAAGAAGCAGTCGGGCTTTATAACGTGTCCTTCTGTCCGATCCTCACCTTAAACTGCTCAGTAACTGTAGTAAATGATTGCTATCACTAAAAGGAATGATAAATACATAGCACCATCTTTAGTTGAAAATATAAAACAGAAGAAAATGCATTGCAAATCCCGAAATAAAATAAAAAAACAACCAAATCTAGATTTTATGATTATGCTACATGATTAACACTATTTGTATTTCTATACATGCTCTTTGGTTATATTGAACCAAAAAAAAATGTTTTAATAATTCTTTGGCAATTACTCTAACAAAAAGGCAGAAAAACTTAAAATAGCATGAAATTATATCATCATCACAAACAGACACGTATTTAGCAAACAAAAAGCGCATCAACGAAGCAGCACAAAAACTATGTACATGTAAAAAGTGTTATAAATAGGTTTTAAACCATAGATACTATATACATCTTTTAACAGAGACAGTATCTGTGTTTTCGTGTCGGGTTTTTGGGATTGCTTCCCCGTTAGCCGCCGTTAACGCTGACCTCACAACTTAAAACTGCAGAAGGGAGCTGATAACACTTGCTGTTGGGTTACTGGGAACTCTGGGATGGAGCCACGTCTCATTCTCGCTTCCTCAAGATGACGTAGATGAGTCCGCTGATGAGCGCCAAGGGGCAAGCCACCCACGCCAGGATGTAGGAGTAGCCAAAGTTGTTTTTCTCGGGCACCCACTCCGGACTCATCACCGTGTAGATGATGGCTCCGCTCATCACGAACAAACCTGCAGGAGGGAAAGAGCATGGAATAAATTATCTCTGTCCCAAATGAACTCTGTCTGGCAGCGGAGGTGGGTCAGTTTCCCAGAAGACTTCCCTCCATGTTGCATCACAGCCCCTACTGAACCCCCAGTCTGGCCTGTACAGCATCCGCCCACCTCCCTTGTCTTGACATGACACGATCTGTTTGTCCGACCTCCGCGCTGCCAGCCTCTCTGGCATTTTAACTCGCACAGCTGGCTGTGGTCCCAGTCATTCCTGTTTGGCTGAGTGGGCACCTGGGTGCCCCTGCACTGACGCTGGCATGGGATCGAGAAAAAAACTGGCATTTTCCAAGAGGGAGGACAAAAGGACTGTCGCTGAGGCAGCTTTCTCTCTTGGCCAAAGGGCGTGAAGCACGATGGACGAGTGCAGCATGAAAACTATTACCTCTCTGGCTCAGACACTAATTTAATTCTCTCTCACAGATTCTGTGGCGATCACGCCTCTGCATCTCTGTAGGTGGACTTTTTGCTGAAGTGCTGGTGACTCTAAAGCAATGCTTCTCAAACTTTTAGGCTATTGACCCAGAAAGTACCACAGGACGGGACTTGTGACCTAAATTATTGCTGACTGAAGCATTTTTAAACACATTTATCAAGCCAGTGTAAAAGGCACAATGACAATACAAACAGCAAACCTGTATACATTTTATTCATACTTTATTTTATACTGTCACAAAGTAAAACATGCTTTCATAACATCCATGCTTGATTACTAGCCAGACCCCCATTGCACAATTACAACTGGTTCAAAATGCTGTTTCTTAACTGGTACAGGCAAAAGAGAGCACATTACTCCAGTTCTGGCCTCCCTTCACTGGCTCCCGGTTCACTTTCAAATTCATTTTAAAATATTTCTGTATGTTTTAAAATCTCTGAACAGTTCTGCCCCCTCTAATTTCACTGATCTGCTGCAGCCATATGTCCTACAGCTAGGCCTGTCACAATAAATCAATTAATCGCATGATAAATAAAAATAAATCAAGCTCATTTTAATTTATCGGCTTTATCGTTTCTTCATGTCTCTCTCTTTCTATTGAAGACACTGGATGACAAAAGGCTCAACTCCGGTGTTCTTCACTGACCCCTTCCTTTCTCTTTAAAATCCATTTTAACCATCCAAAATTGTGTTTTTGGATCGTTAAAAACAGCCAAGCTGAGAAGCTAAGCTACGAGCTATGCTAACAGGCCGACCTCAGGAAAAAAAACCTTCTTGTCGAAGCTCCAAAATTCACGGTTGAAGCCCGTGCCTTCGTGTAAAAAGTTGTTTTTCGCTGCAAAAAGAAGCTGAGAACTTGTTTACTGATTTTTTTTTTTAAATTAAAAGCTTTGTGTGAAAAATGCTAACGAGCTCAAACCACACCAAGCGTCCGCCATTTTGAGAACTGAAAAACGGGAAGGAGAGACAGCCCATGTCACATCAAGGGACCTCCCTCCCATTTTTCTTAAATATACACGCTGCTCACTCCCTCACTATCCATCCTTCAGTTCAAACAGTCTTATACTGCCATCCAGTGGTCGAAAAAGTCACAACACAAAACAAAATAACCAACATTTCTTAAATTTGACAACAATTACTAATTATTGTCAAATTTCAAACAATATTATCATTTATCACAATAATTTCTGAGACAATTAATCACCCAGCAACATTTATCGTGACAGGCCTACCCACAGCGCTCTCTGAAGTCAGCAGACCAGAGGCTTTTATTGGTTCCAGGTACTTGTTTTAAGCTCAGAGGTGACAGAACCTTCTCTGCTGCAGGTCCAAGACTGTGGAATGAGTTGCCCCTGCATGTCAAACAGACTCTCTTGCTGTTTTTAAGTCTCGCTTAAAAATAATGCACTTTTATTCCCAGGTTTTTGACACCGAGTTGATTTTAACTTGTATGTATTCTATAATGTTAGTCATTTAGTTCTTATCTATCTATTTGAATCTATGTATCCTGTGTCCTTTGCTTGTTTTGTTTTTGCTGTACAGCACTTTGGTTGGCCTTGTTGCTGTTTAAAGTGCTTTATAAATAAAGTGGTATGGTATTCCGTTATAACTGTTTTCAATCTCTCAAATATGGCAAAAACATGCAATTATGAATTATTTTTAAATGTATTTTGATCCCTGAAGATCTTAAGACTCCCACTTGGTGTTTTACAACCTACAGGAAGGTCCTGACCCCCAACTTTAAGATCTGAGGAGGGATCAAGTCAAAGTGTAGAAAGTTTACAACTGAAAGTTAGACAGTGACTTCTGGTACTTGCAGGATATCATGGTGGCAATTGTTGTACTTGAATGAAAACTGAAATGCATTACTTTTTTTCTTAATTAAAATATGTGAATATTAAATATAAAAAAAAATATGTTGAGAAACGGTGAAGTTGTAGCTGTTTTAATCAGATCATGTAAATAAAGTTATGTGCAGTCCTGCAGTGTGTTGTGAATGACTCTCGGCTACCGTCACGTCACTGCTAGCTTCTGACTGAATTATAACTTAATGAGCTGTGGCAACCATCATGGACTGGATCGACTCCAGTACAGTAGATGAACAAGCAGCGACAACCTGGATTTACAGCTTTCTAAAAGTTTCATTAAACTTTTCTGCTGGTTCATGAACTATCTTGGTGACGGACACACACGGGCAAAAAACATCAGTCTGCTTTTTGCTGGAAGGTGATGATAAAAAGTTAAGAAGGGGTGGGAGCTCACCAGCCAGGATCTGGAAGGCTCCAGTGAGGAAGAAGCGTCCACCTTTCTGCAAAGTGAAGAGCTGGCAGAAGAAGAGGAAGAGAGCCAGGCAGCTGAAGATGATGGAGAGGATCATCAGGGCTTGGACCGCTTGAATCCATTCTGCAGGAGAGACGGGGGAGTCGTCACGACAGATTTGAACTTATTGAGGGAACAAAACAAAAATGAACAAATGTAAATGACTGGGTTAGTTGTTGCTGGGTTGAACGAGCATCGTCCCAATGAATCCTGAAGTCTAGAGCATCTGTAAACGACCCACAACATTAAAACTGGTGAGTTATTCATGAACGCTCTTTGTGCCTCTTCAACATATCAACCAGGAGGACCACCTGCTGGGTCCGAGTCTATCAGAGCTCGTTTGAGCGAGTGCTTCTCTCCATTTTATTTTATTTGTTTTACCTCCGTGATAACACGCCAGGAACCGTAAGATTTCTAGGCAAGTTATTTTGGTGCAGGAGATGATAAGAAGCAGAACTGCATCCATTTTTGAATTTCTTGTACACTTCTGGTTTTGAGGAGTTACTATTTCTTTAAATGTATCCAGCTTGTTTCCGTGTGTCAGGTGTGCTTATTATTCTCACATTTCTATCCAAACTTGTCACACACTGTGCTTCAGCGCAAATGAGTCGTATGAGCCACTCCTGTCTTAATGTCAGACGACGCTTCAGACAGATCAATAAAAATGAGATTTTACGATCAATTTCTTCCTCCTGCCTCCAAACATTGAAACGAGAGAACCTTTTATTTGCATGTCTGGTAGAAGTTGTCAGGTTTTGATATACAGTAGTCCCTCTCTATTTCGCGGTTCGTTTATCGCGGACTCGCTCTATAATAAGATTTGACAAGACACACAATTGGCCGATTGATGGATGAGCCGCACGATCAGCATAGAATTTTTATTTAAAATAAATGTTTAATTTATTTAGCACCTCCTGCACCTTTGTGCAGCCCTTACTGCAGGATAAACTTCCTGTTCAGCATGCAGAGTGGAGAAGTGGGCGTGGCCAAGAGCACTTGCAGGTGGCAAAGAGCAGAGGAGGCAGGGAGCTGAAATCAAACTACTATTCCTACTTCGGGGATTTTCACTTATCGCTGGTCTTCAGGGTACGGATCCCCCGTGATAAATGAGGGACTACTGTAACTCAAATATGTTGCGGCTTTAATGGAGGATTTACACCAACGGGAGAACAAACAATATATAATGAATTAGCTCTAGGGAACAAACAGAATGATGATGGAAACCTTCCACATCTTTACACATGAGTGAATGCCTTTTGTTCTGTAAATATTCTTACTACGGCCATTTACAATAATATATATACAGACACACACATGAATAATTAGAAATGCATCACTACTTCCTGTTCAGCCTCGCCGTGCTTTCTTCCTTCTCCAGGAGAAAACTAACAGTGGGTATATCCTGGCATGGATAAGCACTATCATATTTTTTGGACTATAAGGCGCACCGGATTATAAGGCAAATTAAGTGAAACTAAAACAGTTCAACAGATTTTAAGTGTGCCTTATAGTCCGAAAAATACGTTAATTATATTAATAAACACAAACAGGAAGATAACTGCGGCCTTTTCTGTTCAGACGCTCCGAGTCGTGCCGTTTTATTTCTCATGATTTGGTCTGACATTCTTCCTCTAAGTAATTTTAGAGCGTTTAAACTAGACAAAGTAATTTTTCCTGGCTGGGAGAATGTGTGACGGGTTCTGCGGATCAGCCGATCTCTCGTGGTGTCGTCAAAACACAAACGCAGCCGAATTGTTTTTGTAACCACAGCGACAAAAAAAAAGAAAAAAAAAAAAAAAAAAAGAGGAAGCGCTGAAATTCGGCTGAACATGAAGTTGGTTTTAACGGTTGCTCAGCTGAAGTTTCAGAAATCTCTTTTGACCACGACTGCCAGCTTTCACCTCCCAGACCCAGCTCACACACAGGCCTTCTTGTACAAACACTTTACGTCAGTAAAAACAAGTCAAACTACCGGGCCGAGCGTCCAGGCGCTGCTGGCCTGACAAAACACACACTGGTCCATTCTAGACCGATGACATCACTCCTGCAACACTTTCAATGGGAAAACATCCAGCTGCTGCCCTCCACGTGAGCGCCCAACGTTGGCTGGTAAAAGAAGCCACAATGAGGTTTTCAGATATTTGTTTATTGTATCTACTTTACTCAAATCCCTGGCAGAGCTTTGTGTGCATAAATCTGTTGCCACTGCAGCTGCTGCTTCATGTGTCCCTGTGATCTCTGCAAACTGGACCCGGTGATCTGACGCTGGGGCGTGGCCTGTCATCAGCGTGTCCGGTGGTCCGAGGCCTCTCTGGCGTCAAACGCAACTTTAAATACTCTCAGCGGCCCCACCCAGATCATTCACAGCTCCCGTCACTACACAAACACGAGACCTTAAGGACACCAGGACTATTTATACAGCTCAGGTCTCCAAACAGCTCTGCAGCATTCTGTCCAGTAGATGGCGCCAGAGTCCAGATGGAGTCGTGACACACCCCACATCAGCAAGTTTTCCATAAAACGCACAGAATTAATCAGTGTGTGTGGAAAAAGAAGAAGTCTGACCTCCAGCTGATGCTGGGTTACAGAAGTGTCCTCCAGCTTGAAGAGTACAGTTTCTCCAGAGGTCCGAGGTGCTGCTTTCCCCTGACGTCCATACCTGGCATCAACAGCGAACAGTTGGGTCAGAAACTTGTTTAGAAAAGCAAAAAGCTCAAGAAAATGCAAACATGCAACTGATAATCATCTGAATGCATCCAGACCTCAGTGAGAAGTTACTGTACATCACTACAGTTAATTTAGTTTGCAGCAGATGAGAAGAAAAACCTGGTGAAAGTTTGACTTACGCTGACAATCGTTGACACAAAGAGGAGAACAAGAGCAGCGATGTGCAGGAGGATGATTCCCAGGAGGAGCAGCAGCATCTTTTCAGATAATCTGAGCAAAGAGGACACAATCTGTCAGATTACACTGTGTGGATGTCAAACTGCTGCAACATCTGCAGCACAGACTGAAGAGCCAACTCATGACAGCTTTGTTGACCCATTACTGCAAGTTATTCAAATTGAATTTAAGATTAACATGATTAAACTTTAGATCTGTGCTCCAGGTTTACGTTTTTTTTTTTTTTTTTTTTTTTTTTTTTTTTTTTTACAGATTTAAATCAACCTAAAAAGGTTGAGAACTTTATTGAAGTGTTTAAAAATGTACATTCCCAGCGTGAATCACTTAAAAAAAATGGAATATTTCCACGGATTGGTCATTAATTTTGCTTAAATAAAAACAAAAATCCCATTTCCAGGTGAGCTCATTACGACATATTTTAACTAAAGGATTTCTGCTGCGTCCGCGCGCCCTTCCGCCTTTAAAAGTCGCCATATAAAGTTCAGAAAGAAGCCAAAGTCCACTTACTGTCGGGGAAGAGCTCGTATCCTTCACAGAAAGGAAAGTTTCCCTGAACGAGTCCGGGAGCAGCGTTAGTCCTGCGCGCTGTCCAGTCAGAGTAGACTGATGCCAGGACTGACGTTCTGTTATGAAGCGTCTCGTGATGGAACAACTACGCCCTCCGTGCGTCGCTGCGTCATGGAGTGAGCCTCCGCTGCACAGACCGGGCCGTGCGTAAAGGCGCACGGGTTGCCGTGGTTACTGGCTGGCCGTGTTGGGATCTGCTGGTTTGTTTTGCTGCTGTAGTAACCAAAGATCAGCTGACCAAAAACACGTTGATTTTATTCATCAATTACGGTCCATGTGGAAACTCTGTGGAGGTGATCATGTTTGTGCCTGTGTGCCTTGCTGTTAGCAAAATATCTTAACCACTGCATGTATTTTAATGAAACTTGCACAAAGTAATCAATGTGTGTAAATCTGCACCTGAGTAAGTTGTGGATACCTCGATTCAAGATGGCTGCCACAAGTGACGTTACATTAAACACATTTGTTGTAGTTCAGCCAGTTTACTGCTACTGGACTCAGGAGTGGAAGTGACTGGGACTGATCCCCACCACTTGTTCAGAGCACTAACACACTGTGCAAATAGTGTAACAGTAACTCTGTCTGTTAGCAAAATATATCATGAACCACTGGGTGGGTTTTAATTAAACTTTCAGGAAATAATTATTGGATGCACCAAAACAACTGATTAACTTTCAGAGACAACCCAGTTCAAGATGGCCACCACATCGACTTCAGCCAACGTAACAATGGCTTTTCCTCTGTGAATGTCACTGATATATTTTTTTCTTCTTCTTTCGGCTGCTCCCTTCTTCAGTGGTCGTCACAGCGAACTAAGTCGCACGAAGGCTCGGCAATTATTTTTACACCGGATGTCCTTCCTGACGCAGCCACAGACCACCGAGCTACCACAGCCCTCTGTGTGGAGCAGAGAGCTGCTATCTAGGGTGTCCAGGGGAGCAGATGGTGGGGGTTAAAGGCCTTGCTCAAGGGCTCATAGTAGGGCAAATGAGGGTGGAGGCAGGTGTGGGTGTTTCGCCTAGCCCACCCACATTTTGATGTTGTCGGTACCAGGAGCTGAACCGGCGATCTTCCAATCTCAGGCCCATCTTCTCTTACCTCTGCACCACCACTCCCTTCTTTTGTGAATCTTACAGACTTGTGCTAAAATTGAGTGTGGTAGTAGCTGAGAGTCATTCACAACATGCACTCTGAGCACACGTCATGTGATCAGTTCCATTTCTCACCAAAAGATGGTTTTAGCGACGACTTTTTAAAGCTTTTAATCATGGAAGCATCAATTGTTTTGATTTATTTTGTTTTAGAGAAGAATCGAAATGTTTCTCGACCAGTTTGTTAATCTTCTTTTTAGTATTTTTGCATTTGGAGCATTTTAGTCCTTTTTTTTTATCCTTCACTCCTTGAAGAAATGCGTGATTTGCACACTTCCTAGATGGCCGCGCTCAGCCGAGTCGCAGCTTCACAGGCTCCCGGTGAACTCAACCTTTTTTTTGTTCCTGTTGTTTATGTTTTAACTTTTTTTTGCACCTACACTGCACATTCACAGTACGGGTATGAGCGCGACACACTTGTGGAGTTTTCTGTGTTGCTGCCTTGCCATCGTGGTTCAGTCCTTCCAGCCTCGAGCTCAGGCCTTACATGGCGCTTGTCTCCACGATCCTCCATCTGCCTGCATGGACCGAACTCTGCAGACCCGCTTGGTTCCACGCGGGAACCTTGGATGTTCTCTGTCTGCTGGACCCGGTTCTGGAGGACAGTCTGGGAGGTCAGCTGCTGCGGTCCTTTTTATCATCATTCTGCTGAAGGGACCTGCTAACAAGACCTGCTAACGCTGCTAACAGTCCCATGGTGCCAGCGGGACCATGTTTAGAGAAACCTCACTGTCATCAGAACCACTCTGCCAATAGGACCATGCTGCTGTAGATTTATTTCTTTTTCACTTATGGTGTTTTGTAGCTGTATTTTTGTTGCATGCTTTGAATAAATCCCAGTTTATGTTAGTTTAGTTAATATTAGTGCTCGCATTAAGCGTGTAAATTATAGCCAAACAGAACCTATGAGAATCGTGCTGCTGTTGTTCGGTGTGTTGTTTTGCCCTATTAGTGACCGGCATAGCTTAGATCTTTTAACGTACCGTAGGGCGTTTGTTTAGTGTATATCTTAGTTTATATCTCAGATCCTTATTTACTGTTTATATTTTTCCTATTGTTTGATGTAACTGGGACCCTGTGCACACAATTTCGTTCCACTACATGTACCACATGTGAAGCGAATGAGAAATGAAGAAACTCTGACTCTGTTGATTTGACCGTTGAGGTGTGACGTGTTTGTTTCTCTGCTTGAGTCATGAAGTCAGCCTGGTGACTCGACGCACCGACAGGAAGACGTACCCGGGGTTCTCCTCTGTTTGACGTGACTCACTTCCGGATTGAGTGAGCTGGTGTCCCGCCCTGAACACGGAGGTTAATCCTGGAAGTGTGCATGAATGGAAAATGTCCCCAGGGCAAGGAGTCAAAAAATGTAAATATTTAAAATGTAATCTGGACAGATTTATCGCCGTCTCCCTTTTTAATGTAAAGCTTAACCAGCATGGAGTTTGCTGGACTGCTGCGTTTCCCAACTTCAAAACCAGTTAGTGTTGGACATCAACACTGGTCCTGTTTTTAAAACATCAAAACCAGGCAGCGCTTTATCAAACACACGTTTCACGGCCGTGCGGTCTGAGAAGAGCTCAGAATGGGCTCCACCTCAGATAACCCCTGTCACCATCCACTTTCTGGTCACCACTTGACTTCCTGCCTGTGTCCCACAGAGTCCACTCTGCCGCCCTCATGTCCACACAGACGCGAGACAAGAGGACATGACAGACGTGAAGTGCAGCTTGAAGTGAGATGTTTGCGGCGGTGCAGAGATTTGAAGTTTGTCACAACTTTAACCTGAAATGCAACATCTGCTGGTGTGAGATCTGGAAGGTTCTGTGTGTTTTAACCTTCATCTCCAGGTTTTATTACCTGAAGAATCGGGTTCGATCTGTAAGTTTTAAAGATTTACAGTAACACAAAGAGCAGTCGTTAAAACTAGCTGCGCAGGCACTCCCCACTCCCATCCCTTATTTGTCAATGTTTGTAAAAGCCACACAATCAGCCAGCTGAGTGGACACAAGAAAGTTCATTCCATTTGTGACGCTGGAGATTGGAGCCAAACTCTCACTGGAGGTGGGGGGGGGGGGGGGGCTCTTATAACAAACATTCAGATCCAGATCCAGGTACTGAATAACATTGCATCTGCAGTGACGTTCAACATTTAATCTCTGGTGTGAAGAAGGCACGAGCGGGAGACAGTTAGAGGACATTCCAGGGCTGGAGATAGGAGCTCAGCCAAGTGGGGGTGGGGGGTCTGGAGACGAGTTGATTAGGTTACAGAAACTCCAACCACATAGCAACACAGAAGAGTGTTAAAGCAGATGTGACGACCTCAGTGGATGCATTTATCCTGTCAAAATAACTCCTGAAGGTTTCAGTGAAATAAATATGTTTTTATCCAGAGCAAGAAAAGCTCCTTAAAGTTTTCAGTCACTTTATCCCATTACGGCCTATTTCACAGTAGTTTGTTAAGATTATTAAATGACTCATCACTGAGACAGTCGGTCCAGCGGATGCTCCGTGGAGGTCCAAGGTGAAAGTCTGCGTCACAGTTTGACCTGTTAGGAATCGATCCCGACGCTTGGTGTTTGACTCGTAGCAGCTGTCAGTCAAAGGTGGCTCCATTTTTTTTCTTGCAAGTCTTTTAGGTGTTTTGCTGCACTGCACAAGGGGTGTCGAACTCAGTTACGTCAAACTCGGTTACCAAAAGTAGACAAATGTAAAAACTTTGGCCACGGGCCACTTTCAGCTGATACATTACTCAGGTCTCTCTTGTAAATGAATCCCCGAGACTCATTAGAATTAACCTGTATAAATAAAGGTTGAATGAAAATTAACTCGAGTCAGATATCCCATATCTTTTCTTGGTTGCAGGTTCATCAACAAGAGTTTGATCCGTCTCATTTGACGTTCTGTTGCTCCTTCTACATCAGAATCAATAATGACGGAATGATCCAGCTGTTTTTGTTTTTTTTACTTCAAAGTTAGCCAGCTGGCAAGAGAAGTCTACACAAAATTATGCATTTATCAGTTTTCTAAAGAAAAAATTAGAAGATACACAATATTTTACATTTAAATCATCATCTTGGGGGACCAGATTTGGCCTGTGGCTCTTGTTTTCCACTCCCATATCAGAAAAATCACCAGGAACTTTGCTCCTCACCAGCCCGTACATTTCAAAATCCAACATGGCTTCCTCGTGCATGAAAAGTAGTAAAAGTGTAGTATGACATATGCAGGATATATTCATACTTTTTCACGGGTTCTTCATTTTTCTGACTGTGTAAATGTCGTGCATTGAATTTAACAGAAATGTAACGAGAGACGTTATTTATCTTTGACCCATCAAAATGAATGCGGTCATTTATTTGCAGAATCAAAGTTTAACATCAAACATTTACATTAATTTGGCAAAATATGAAAACAATAACATGGCTAGTTTCACAGGAAGTGGGACAATACGGCGATTATCCTCACTTCTCAGCAGAACAGCAGACATCAATCACACGGCGGTGATTGAGAACTTTGCTTCAGACATTTCTAAAATATCTGTAATGATTTTAGGAGAAAGGAGAGTTTAAGATGGAAAATGGAGATTTATCTTACAGAGAGATGTGTGAGGGAATTTATCTGTTTGACCAGAAACGTGCACGCTCCTTCAGATCTCAGCTTGGACACGGTACGCTTGGTCGAAGTAGAACTTTTACGTGGTTGATGATATGTCAGGTCGGCGTGAAGTCCTTCTTTTGACTCTTTCAGCGTCTCCGTTGAGAACAGCTAAAATACTTCGAGAGTCGTGCGAGGTTATCCAAACAGAAGTTATAATTCCCAAAATCGTCCCTGCATTCTGGATTCAAGAACTCTGAACTCCTTCAGAGCTCTACTCC